AGAGAATGCAGCTGTGTGTGAACCTGCCCGAAGGCATTGACTACCTTGGGCAAGGGAAAGGTGCTCGACTACTGCTAGAGCCCACGATTGAGTGGACGGTTGAAGAAGCGGCCACCATGACGCTCCGGACCACTGGGGAACGACGAGCGTGATTTCTGTCTGCGTCAGTTCCGCGTGGCGGAGTGTAGCGGGAATTAAGTGTGGAGGCGCGAAGGCAAAGCATCGCTCGCCTTTCCACGAGATGGAAAATGCGTCGACGGCGAATGCGTCGGGGTGCGGTATCTTGGAGCAGAAGCGCTGAACGTGATTGTTCCGAACGTTAGCAAAGAGATCAATTGTGTGAGGCCCCCAGCGTCGTTCCAAGAGGCGAAACCAAGGTGCATGTAGGGAGTAGTCGTCAAAATCTTGCATCTTGGATAGGTCATCCGCATGGGCGTTGAGCTCCCTCGGAATCCATTCGGTCGCGAGGCGTGTTGTGTTGCCGAGGCAGAACTGGATGATCGCTTGGCATGTCGACGTAAGATCGGCCTGACGGGATCCCCCCTTGCGCAAGATAAACATGACTGCTTGGTTGTCCACCCGGACGAGGACGTGAGCACCCACGATTTGGGTTGCGAACGTCCGCAGTGCCCAGAGCACTCCCTCGAGCTCTCGCCGCGTACTAGATGTGGGGAGAAGCCCTTGTGGCATGCACTCGCTTGCCTCGCATGATGTACTTGGGAACTTGGCCAAGGTGGCACCCCGGCTGTGCGCACTCGCGTCGACGTGTATCACTGCATCAAAACGTTGACTCTGGTGGAATGGGGCGCCATTGAAACGATCAAAGTGCATTGTCCAAAACAGCAGCTCCTCGGTCGCTCCTGGTGACAATAAAACCTTTGAGTTCCATGACCATGCGGAGTCGATCAAGTGGAGCAGCTCATGGCTGAAGGCCCGCGCCGTCGTGCCCAGCGCGAGCGACATGGAGCTGAGAAATCCAGTGATCCGGGCTATCTTGCGAATCGGCACTTGACGACCCGATTGCCCTTTTTGTATAAGTAGATGGAGCTCTTACAGTAGCTGTTCGCGCCGATCCTTTCCGACCAGGAACATCGCTCGTTCCGTGTCAAGCTCCATCCCCAAAAAGCGCAAGTGGTGTGCGGGATGCAGGTGTGATTTCTTAGAATTTATCATGAATCCTGCCGCCTTCAAGTCGTGGAGAGCTTCGACGCGCGTCGAACGGGCTTGCGCCTCGGAGTTGCAGAGGAATAGTAGATCGTCCACGTATGGTATTACGCGCACTCCGCGCGCGCGCCATCTCTTGGCTAGTTGCTTAATAAGTTGGGTGAAGATGAACGGGGCTGTTGCCAGGCCGAAAGGTAAGGATGTGAAGCAATAGAATTTTCCGCCCAATTGAAAGCCCAAAAACTTCCAGCATGATGGGTGGATTTCGACGTGGTGGTAGCCTGACTTGAGATCGATTGTGAACATCCAGTCGTGTGGGCGAATGATTTCCGCGACCCGACTCAAGCCTTCGTACTTGAACTTGGGAACTTGGAGGTGAGCGTTGACCTTCCGCAGGTCAAGGATGAGCCGGCATTTGTCTCGTTGCTCCACAACATTGAGCGGGCTGATGCACGTCAGTGCGGCTTTCGACGAGACATGCATCGCGGCGCCTGACGCGATGAGGTCGCTAACCGTGTCTTGGGTGAATGCCATATGTGCTTGAACGCCTGCGTGATTGGGCGCTTCGAAGGGGAGAGGCTCTGTGCCCTTCCATGGTAGCCAGTTTCCTTCGGCAATGATGGAAAGGATAAGACTGTTGTCGCACCATGATAGCCACCAATGGAGGCTGTTGCGCAATCGCATTCGCATGATGGACACCATGTTGTCCGTTATTGCGTGCTCGTATGGGTCCCAATGAGCACTCCGCCACTCGCCTTCCACTTCTCCAATTAATGGGCAACCGAGGTTGTGTGGGGGGGGGGGACCAGGGCCAAGGCCGATTAGATGCGAGATAATACGGGACACTTCGTCGGGCAAACTATGTCGCTTGTCTTCTACCGCCGTCATGCCTCCCGCACTCCCGGGGTTTTTTTTTTTTTTTTTTTTTACTTTGCTTGCGCAGTCATCAGCTTTAATACCCTTGCAAGGTTTTTTTTTTTTTTTTTTTTTTTTTTTTTTTTTTTTTTTTTTTTTTTTTTTTTTTTTTTACATTGCCTTACAACGAGATCGGCGCATTTGCGTCACTTGGTCCCACGACCTTGTTCATCACGATGTCGTTGTGATAGTTCCTCTCTCTCTCTCTCTCTCTCTCTCTCTCTCTCTCTCTCTCTCTCTCTCTCCGTCTCCCTCTCTCTCTCTCTCTCTCTCTCGCTCTCTCTCTCTCTCTCTCTCTCACTCTCTCTCGCTCTCTCTCTATCTCTCTCGCCCTCCCTCGTTCTCTCTCTTTCTCTCTCTCTCTCTCTCTCTCTCTCTCTCTCTCTCTCTCTCTCTATCTCTCTCTCTCTCTCTCTCTCGCTCTCTCTCTCTCTCTCTCTCTCTCTCTCTCTCTCTCTCTCTCTCTCTATCTCGCTCTCCCTCCCTCTCCCTCGCTCTCTCTCTCTCTCTCGCTCTCTCTCTCTCTCTCTCTCTTTCTCTCTCTCTCTCTCTCTCTCTCTCTCTCTCTCTCTCTCTCTCTCTCTCTCTCTCTCTCCTTCTTTGTTCTTCTCTCGGTCCTTGCTTTGTCTTGCACTCCTGGCCAATTCCTCCTCCGTGGCTGCCTTCCTCAAGAGGGGGCTGATGTTTTGTTTGTTGTGCCATTTGTCTTCTCGTTTCGAGTTGGCTCCCTTTCTCTCTCTCCATTGTTCGTTTCTTTTTTTTTTTTTTTCAATAACAACAATCTTTTATTAATCCACACAAAGGCATACAAGCCAAGCCTACACCATAACCAGCCCCTACGGTTGCCATCTTGCCCTGGCCCCCATGGCCTATCCTACTCCCCAAGGCTCCTAACCAGCCTACGCACCACCGGTGCATCCACCTACGCCCCCCGGCATAGTGGCAAGGGGCGCCGCCCCATGGGTCCTCTCACACCACGGGTGCGGGACCTTGTGCGCCACGCCCTCCCATAGGGCAATTATTTGCCATATGGCCGGGCTGGCCGCAACGGAAACACACCCCCTTGAAGCGGGGCTCGTGGCAGCCCGCGGGTGGCATGCCTTTGCTTTCCGGTTCACCGTCACGAGGGGGAAGGCAGCCTCCGCGGGCGAAGCCGGTACGTGCACGCTTGAGGGCCGCCACGTCGGCTACCGCGAGCTTGTAAGAGCGGGATGTGAGCACGCTCTTGGCTTGGTACAGCTGGAACCGATCCGCCGCTTCGAAACCGGCCTCATCCGCCACCAAGAGCACCTCGAAGCGTTTGTTGATCAACGTGTCGATTTGCTCCACGTTGGAGAGCGCGCCCTCGACGTCGCCGTTTTGGAGCTTGAACTCGACGTGCCTCAGGTGAGCTTGAATTGCAGAGAACACCTCCGCCTGGTCATGCACTCCCTTGCGCATGAAGGTAGTAGCTGCGGGTGAAGGGTTGAGGGGGGGAAAGGGAGGTGCGGGTGCGAGAATGCTACGACGGGCAAGGTTGTCGGGGGGCCTCACCGTCTTCATTTTCTGAGTCGTCGCTGTCGTCGGGGATACGGGCTTGGGTTGGTGCCGGAGCTGGGGCGGGAGCAGGAGCAGCGTTGTTGGTGCGAGCGATTTTGGTGGAGCGGGGAGCCGCGACAGGTTCCTTCTGCTTTTCGATTTTAGCTGACGCAGAAATTTCTTCAGCTGATGTAGCTGCAGACGACGGTGCGTGCTGCTGCAATAACGAGAGCAGCGCTTGTAGTTGCTGGCGGTCAAAGGCGTTGACCGGGGTGACGTCAGCGGAGGGTGCCGCGCGCCGGCGTTTCTGGGTCGTGGGCCCGGATGGACCCGCGTCAGCGCCGGTCAAGACGACCGCCGCGTCAGCGGCGGTCGTCGTCTTCTGCGCAGCACGCGCGTGCCTGCCAGGCACGCGCTCTTCAGCAGCAGCCACGCGCGACTGTACAACAGTCGCGCGGTCCTCAGGGGGGGTCCGAAGGGTGCCTCCGAGCAGGAGGTCGACCGCCGAGGGCCCCTCGCTTGAAATTTCCTCGGCGGGACGTTTTCCGCCGCGACGATCCGTTGTCCCGGCCGGAGTCGAGGTTTCCGCCGCGTTACCGGGGCTAGAAATATTCGAATTGTCGCGGTTAAGTGCCGGGTTGACCGGAGCCATCGTTGCGAGGTTGCGCTTAAGGATGTCGTTAAGGAGCGTTGACGGGGCAGTGAAGCGCGGAAGCGACTGAGTCTTCGCCAGTGTGGACGAGAACGAAATTAGAACTACAATTTTGAAAATGAAAACGTGGGTGGGGACGAATGTCCCCGCGTCCCTCTTTTGTAGGCAAAAGAGGGTGAGCAGCGCTTCGGCGCTACCTTTGCTGTGTTGGCCACGTACCCCTTTTCACAATACAAAATTTTAGAAAGTGTTACATTTCATTACACTTTCAAAAATTATCATACTCTTATAAAAGCCTGTATCTCTTTGCTTTAATCAATCTACTTTGCCCTCAGACACCAGCGCAAGGTGGTTCACAGACTTATCATTAAAAGCTTCCGCTATTATATTGTTCCTACTCAGAGTTGAGTCCTGCAAAGATCGCAAGGGCCTTGTCCAGCCCAACAGACTCTACAAGTTTAGACTACACATAACTGATCTCCAATGGTTTGCTATGTACATACATATATAGCTATACCTGTGAAGTATCCAAGTGTAAACACCATTTCCAAGAGTAAACACCGCACCCTACCGCACGTATGCGAGCAATCTCGTAGCTATCTCCAGGCCAGCTAAAGGGGTGGGATGGGAGGGAGAGCAAGCTTACAAGTACCTGCACAACGGAGTGAAGCAGTTGAGATTATACTGCACATCAAAGCACTACGCACCGTATAACGCATACAAATGTCAGACCACACCACCAAACCGTCTCCTACAGTTTTATACTAACCCGCTCGGCCCAGTGCAGTATATCAGAATAAATCTGATCCCCACCAATCTCCGCCCCCGTTGCACCAGCGGCAACCCGCAAAATATCCTCAATGAGTGCAAAGTTACCCATGATGTCCACGTGGCTGCCACTCTGCGTGCTCCTGCCTGCCAGCAGCCCCGAGGTGGGGCGGTGCTCGTACTCCCTGAGGTAGGTGGGCGAGGCGGCGGGGTTGAAGCGCGTGCGGCCGCGCCACAGCTTGGCGCACGGCAGCCCCATGGAGAGCACGGGCGCTGTCTCGTCTCCGTCCGTGAAGTATGCCCCCTCTGTCAGACAGTCCCCCGCCTGAAGGGTGGGAGGGAGGCAAAGTGGGGATTTGATGAGGGGATAAAGTAGGAGATTGAAGAGGTGAATTGCACAGAAGAGAGGCGGGGGGCAAAAGGAGGGGTTTGGGGGGGTGGCCTCTGTGGTGAATTTGGGGTATGTGGCGTGAGAAAGGTGTTGCTGTTAATCACATGGCCCCTCGTGTTGTTGAGCCATGCCCCATGTGCTGCCAACCCATATGCCAGTGGCCCACATGCCAGTGGCCCACATGCCAGTGGCCCACATGCCTCTGACTCACAAAATGCACCTGCCACAGATTGCTACCTGTCCACAAGCCACCAGCCCACCCACCCACATGCACCTGTCCCACATGGCACCCACCTGGCCAGGCGGCCCATTGGCAGAGGCATCGATGCGGAAGGGGATGAGGCAGGTGTCGTTGGAGGGCGACAGGCGGTACACGTACGCCCTCTCTGTCAGCAGCCCCGTGCCGTACGCGCAGTACACCTCCATTTCCGGGGCGTCGGGCAGGCTGGGGGGGATGGGAGGGGGGGAGAGAGAAGGTGGCGTGAGTGCAGGAAGGAGAGAGGCGGTACACATGTGCCCTCTCTGTGGGCAGCCCCGACCCATAGGCGCAGAACACGTCCTTCAGGGGCATGGGGCCGGCTGGTGAGAGAGAAAGGGCGACAGGGGGATGTGCGTGGAGGAGGGGTTAAGGACGTGGCAGGAGTGGATGAGAAAGGTGGTACACACACACACGGACCTGGTTTCCAGGGGGTTCGCCCAGTACTTGGGCTCCTCCGCATACTTCCTCTCGCTCAGATCCTCTGCAATCCCATAGCTCCAGTTCTCATCCGCTCGTGCCATCGTCTTGGGCGCCACCTGTCTCAGCAGCCCCAGAATGCCCCCAGAAGGGCCGTCGCTCTCGTCGCCCGCGGTGTAGAAGGGGCAGTTGGCGATGTCCTTGAGCGCATGCCAGCTCATGTCGTGATATTCGGTCCACACCTCCCCGCACGACTTGTTGCGCGACTGCAGGTGCTGAAACACTGTTTCCTCCAGCTGCCGCTGCCACTGCTTGCGCCGACTCTCCCTCACAGGCGCTTTCTCTTCCTTTCCTTCTGACTCGTCCCTCTCCCCTCCAGAACTCGCCCCTCCCTTCCCCTCCGCCCCCTTATAAGCAGTCTCGTCACTGTACTCATCATCCCCTTCCGGCAGCAAATCGCGCATGGCACAGCTACAGGGGTCGGAGAGAACGTACTGCTGCCCGCCCCACGTGGCTGGGCACGTGGAGGCGGCAGGGCACGTGGCAGCTGCTGCCCTGGCTGCTGCCTTGGCGCCTGAGGGGCACACGAGGGACTCCGAGAGCGTGGCTGACGCTTCTCCAAATGACACCTGGTGAAGGGGAGAAGGGGGGAAAGGGGAGGGACACAGGAGAGTGATGAGGGCAAACATGAGAGTTGGGGACGGCAGGGCACGTGGCAGCTGCTGCCGTGGCTGCTGCCTTGGCTGCTGCCTTGGCGCCTGAGGGGCACACGAGGGACTCCGATAGTGTGGCTGACGCTGCTCCGAAGGGACATCTGAAAGTGGGGAATAAGGTGGAAACGTAGAGTAAGGGAAAGTAGGAGTGGAAAGTTGCAGGGCACGTGGCCGCTGCTGCCCTCGCCACTGCCTTGGCACCTGGAGAGAGGAGATAAAGGAGGGAGACTTGGGGAGATGAAGAGCATGGCTGCCCAAACTTCGGAAACCAAAAGGTTTAGCCAAAGAGAAGCAAAACGAAACAAAACTAGTTATGGAGGAAAGCACAGTTATTGCGCTATCAAAAACGGCTCACCATGCGTCCAAACCACGCCCGCCGCTCGCTTGTCTCAAGGTCATAGCTCCTCGTGGATGCATTTGCCTCATCCCCCTCACCATCGCCCTCACTGCCACTCTGCCCGCCATCGCCAGACCCCTCGGAGTGAGCACCAGTAGTGGAGGCAGTAGCAGCAGCGGAGGAAGCAGACGAGGGGGAAGAGGAGGAAGGGGCAGAGGAGGACGCCCCTTCCGCCATCAAAGTCCGCAGAAACCCCTCCACTCCCAGCCCCTTGCCTGACCCTTTCGCCCTCCCATCCCCTCCCGCCTTGGAGCTGTTCCCCCCACTCTCCCCCGCCTGCTGCTGCTGCTGCAGGTGGAGCTGTTTCGCGCGCGCCTTGGAGCAGTTGAAGGAGTCCTCGGGCGCCCACGTGGCGTTGCCCCACACGGCCTCGCCCCCCTTGGGCAGCATGCTCATGGTCGCATCCCACGTGCGCGACACCCGCATCACATGCTGCAGCGCCTGCAGGCTCCCAAACACGCCTGGATCTAGCGCCCTGGTGAAGAAGGCGGGAGATGAGAGTGGGTGCAGAATGGTGATAGAAGGGATTAAAACCAATCCGAAACAGTGGTATTGAGGGTTGAAAGTGGGTGCGGACGGTGGTGGTGGGGTGGTGAGAAGGAGGGTTAGCAAGAAAGCTGGACCCCCCCCCCCAAACACTCCTCCACACGACAGGGAAGCTGTTCGCCCCCCTTGGGCAGCATGCTCATGGTGGCATCCCATGTGTGCGACACCCGCATCACATGCTGCAGCGCCTGCAGGCTCCCAAACACGCCCGGGTCTAGCGCTCAGGATGGGGGGAAAGGTGGGGAGACACATGCACAAGCGTTGGAATGTTACCGGATGCCATGCCTGCAGGCGCTCAAACACCCCCGGGTCTAGTTCCCTGATCAAAGAGGGTGAAAGAGAGAGGGAGGGGGGGGGGGGAAGGGGGGGAAGTGCAAAGCGGTGGCAAGGGGGTGAAAAGTAGGAGCATGCAGGCTGTCAAGCACGCCCACGTGCAGCACTCTGCTAGGCAGGGCAGATGCACGCATGAGGAGCAAAAAGCGAGTCTTCTCATCTGATAGCTGCTACATCCTTGGCTTCTCATCTGATAGCTGCTACATCCTTGGCTTCTCATCTGATAGCTGCTACATCCTTGGCTTCTCATCTGATAGCTGCTACATCCTTGGCTTCTGCCGAAAAGAGTCCGGTGAACGCCTTGGGAGCTCCCCGGAGCGGCCCTCCAATGTTGAAAAGGACTGCTCGAATGTGATCGCGCACCCACTTACTCTCCTTCCCTTCCTAATAGCGGTGAAGGCATTGGAAGAACCTAAGAGGGGCCCTCCAATGATGAAGACTGATCAAATGTGATTGCGCACTTACTTACTCTCCTTCCATTCTTCCCTACTGCAAGGCTTGCTCCCTATGAGAAAACTGAATTATGGTTTCATTGAAAAGAGAGAGTTTACATAGTTGGAGGAGGAGGAATGAGTTGGGTTGACGGCCTTGCCACAATTATTGCCCCCCACCAATAAGTTGGGGTCACCAATTTTTGGAGGGGTCAATAATTGTGTTGGAGGACCACAAATACAGAACCTCCAATACTGGGGAGCCTGGGTAAACCCTGGTTCTACACCCAAGCTAAACCTGGGTGCTTGTGACTATCCACGACTTGCTATATAGATCCATGATACAAGAATAGGAGCATTCTAACACCCTTCTCACCTGATAGCCGCCACGTCCTTAGCTTCTGCCGAAAACAGTCCAGTGAAGGCCTCGGGAGCGCCCAGGAGCGGCCTGTCAATGTTGAAAACCGCTCGGATGTGATCGCGCACCCACCGCGGGCTCTCTCCCCCTCCTCCCCTACTGCTGTGGTTGGTTGCAACCTCCTCACCTGATAGCCGCTACATCTTTAGCTTCTGCTGAGAAGAGTCCAGTGAACGCCTTGGGTGCCCCTAGAAGCGGCCCTCCGATGTTGAAGACGGCCCGGATGTGATTGTGCACCCACCGCGGGCCCCCTCCTCCTCCCAGGGGCGCGGGTGCTTCGACCCACTTCATAAAGAAGAGGAAATAGAGCACTCCCATGGAGTGAGGCACTACCACGGCCTTCTTGCCCTCGTTGGTCTGCAGATGATAAGAGAGTGCGGGAGGAGCGGAGGGAACGTGGGACATGAGGAAGTAGGAGAAAGAAGGAGAGGAGGTAGATCACGCCCATGGAGTGAGGGAGGCACTACCACCGCCTTCCTGCCCCCTTGGTCTGATAGGAGAAGGATAGCAAGTGCAGGAAAGAGGTGGGCAGGGGGTGAGAGGGGAGTTGACGGAGGGAGGGGAGACAGACGAGCACTCTCATGGAGTGAAGCCCCCCCCCCCCCCCCCCGGGCGTGCTTCGAGCCACGTGATGAAGAGAAGAAAGTAGACACTGGCTTCTTGCCCTCGTTGGTCTGTAGCAAGGTGGAGGTAAAGGGAGATGTGCCAAAGGGTGAGACGAGGAGAGGATGGAAGAAGGGGACTGGAGTAGAGCATACTAATGAAGTGAGGCACCATCACTGCCTTCCTTCCCCCATAGGTCTGAAAAAAAGGGGGAAGGAGAAAGTGGGGGTGAGAGATGTGGGCAATGGGTGATGCAGGAAAAGGGTGATGCGCCAAGGATTGAGAAGTGAATAAACGGAAGTATAGAACCCTAACGGCGTGCGGCACCCTCTTGGCACACCGAATGCCACATGGCACACCACATGGCACACCACATGGCACACCACATGGCACACCACATGGCACAAAGCATGGCACACCACATGGCACGGGCGTACCTGCTGCACGAGCATACCTTCACAAGCATTTCAATGGTGGCCTTGAGGCGACTGAGCGTTTGATCCCTCTTCTGCACATGATTGCATGGGGGGATGTGTTGGGCGAGGGGGGCGAGGGACATACAGGTCAGGTCTCTGTACATGGGTGTACGATGGGAGGGGGGGCGACGGATATGCAGATCGGATAGAAGTCCCTCACGATAACAAGCACACGCATGCATACACACGCGTGCATACACACGCATGCATACACACGCGTGCATACACACGCATGCATACACACGCATGCATACACACGCATGCATACACACGCATGCATACACACGCATGCATACACACGCATGCATACACACGTGTGCATACACACGCATGCATACACACGCATGCATACACACGCATGCATACACACGTGTGCATACACACGCGTGCGCGCACGCGCTCACGCGCGCACACACACGCACGCACGCACACGCACGCACGCACGCACGCGCGCGCGCGCACACACACACACACACACACACACACGCGCGCGCGCGCGCGCGTGCACATGCACATGGACACGCGCATGCGCACAAGCACATGCACACGCGCATGCGCACAAGCACATGCACACGCACCTGCGTGTTATAAAACGAGAGGCGCCAGTCATAAGCAGCCATGAACATGTTGCGCTCCTCATAGCCGATCTTGGCGAGCTGCTCGATGATCACCGCCCACACAAAGTACCCGGGTAAGAAGTAATCCGCCGCCACCAGCCCTGACACCGGCCGTACGCGAATACCAGGAGGGTCCAGGCCTGTCTCATTGTCTAACAACATGTGCTCCATCCAACAGCCGGGCCTGGGGAGGAGGAGGAGGTAAAGAGGAAACGGGAGAAGGGTTGGAGTGAGGAAAGGTTAAATGATGACCGCCCGCCCACACGAAGTAGCCTGGCAGGAAGTAGTCCGCTCCCACCAGCCCTGACACCAGCCGCACCCTGATTCCGGGAGGGTCTACAAACCCTGTCTCGTTGTCTAACAACATGTGCTCCATCCAACGGCCAGGCCTGGGACGGGGGAATCGGGGGGCGAGGGGTCAGGGGGAGGGAGAGGGGAGCGGGGAAGGAGGGTGGGAGTGAAGGGAGGTTCGATGATGAGCGCCCATACAAAGTATGTGGGTAGGAAGTAAGCCGCTGCTACAAGGCCTCACACGGGGCGCACATGTACCCCGGAGGTCCAGGCCTGTCTCGTTGACAGACCTGTGTCGTGACAGGCCTGCCTCGTTGTCAGGCCTGCCTCGTTGTCAGGCCTGTCTCGTTGACAGGCCTGCCTCGTTGACAGGCCTGCCTCGTTGACAGGCCTGCCTCGTTGACAGGCCTGCCTCGTTGTCAGGCCTGCCTCGTTGTCAGGCCTGCCTCGTTGTCTAACAACATGTGCTCCATCCAATGGCCAGGCCTGGGGGGAGGCGAATGAAAGGAAACTGTGTGGAAAAGTCAACGATCACCGGCCACAGAAATCACGCCCCCCCTCCCCCACCCCTCTCCTCTTCACCACCCACACCCTCTTCAACACCCACACTAACACTCTCATCACATCCTCCTCAACACGCCACATCTTCCCAGCGAGCCCGCGCACCTTCTGTAAGCATCCCCGAAGGTTCCCCCCCACAGCCTCTTCCTGAAAAGGTCCGCCGCACACGGCCGCCCCTCCCACAGCTCCAACCCGCCTGGGGAGGCGAGAGGCGAAAAGGGGGAGAGGGGGAAAAAGGGGGATGAGCGAGCGGGGAGAGATGAAGGGGGACGGGTGGGAGGGAGGAGGAGGCGGGAGGGAGGAGGAGGGCGGGGAAGGAGGAGGAAGGGGAGAGCGAAGAGGAGTGGGGAGAGGGAGGAGGAGGGGAGAGAGGGAGGAGGAGGGGAGAGAGGGAGGAGGAGGGGAAAAGGGAGGAGGAGGGGAAAAGGGAGGAGGAGGGGAGAGAGGGAGGAGGAGGGGGGAAGGGAGGAGGAGGGGAGAGAGGGAAGGAGACACACACGAAGCAGGGCTAGGGAAGGAGGGAGGGGGAAAGGTGGGTGCCGGTAGGGAAAAAAAGGAGTGTGAGGGAAGGAGGGGAAAGGTGCGTGTTGAAACCAAAGAGGCGATTTCCAGCAACCATCAGGGCGGCGGCACACAACCATGTTCCGTACACCCTAGAGCACGCAGGTGAGAAGGAAGGGGGTGAGTAGGAGGGGGTGAGAACGCACGCAGACAATGTGAGGGGAAGGGAGGTAGAGTAAGAAAGCATGGAGATTCAGTGAGGGAGGAGGGGAGGGAAAGGAGGGGAAGCGGGGAAAGGGGGGAAGGTGGGACTGGGGAAAAGGGGGGAAGGGGAGAAAGGAGCGGAGTGAGGGAAAGGGGGAGGGGGGGAGGGGGAAAAAGGCTGAGAAATTATGAACAAGACGTTAGTGAAGGGGCGCGAGGGAGCCCGGTTCCGCCTTTTAAAAATGACGAGACCGAGCTGTGAGTATACCCACCTGTGACTATCCCCGGAACGAACACCACGGGGTGCTTCGCCTTCACGCCTTCCCCCGCCAGCCGCGCGCCAGGCGGCTCCACCTCGGGGAGCCCCACGAGCGCGTCCTGGATGGCCTGGATCTGCTGACGTGGCATGAGGTGATAGGCGAGCATGAGCAGGAACCAGAGGAACACGGCGTTCCCCATGGTCCAGCAGCACGAGTCGATGCACCCCCACCGCCCGCCCCTCCTGCTCTCGCTCCTCTCGAATCTCCCGCTCCTGTCGAATTTCTCGCTCTTCTCCAAGCCCTTCTCGCCCTTGTCAGCTTTGTCTCCGCTTTTTTTGTCCGCTCCCCGTTGTTGTTGTTGTTGCTGCTGCTCCTGGCGGCGCTGCTGCTGCGAAGGCTGCTGCGAAGTTTGCTGCGGCTGTCTGCCTATCTGTCGCCGTCGCAGGCCGCCATCGGAGCCGGCGACAGTGGCGGGCGTGACCTTAGGAGTCGTGGCCTGCTCGCGAAGGATTCCGTCGAAGCTACTGCGACGCCTGGGAGCGTGCGAAGACTGGCCTCTGCCGTCCATGATCGCCGTGCGACGATTATCGAAGCGGCGCTACGGGTTTCAAGCGAACAACGGAACGGGGCTCGCCTCGTTTTTTTTTGGTCCGCCAGGAGTTACGGACAGGAAGTACACTTGAACAAGTCCGCAGCTTGGAATCTCACGACCGAGATTCACGGCCTTCGACGCAGCTCTCGCGAAGGACCAGCTGTGCAAGCATGGCGATCTGACGAGAATACTCCACAAGCTGCATGAACTAGTTGAGTTTGAAGGGATGATAGCGAGGATGCCAGCCCTAGTCTTTGGAATGGGGTTCATCTTTCACAGCTGAAAATTCTGGACGTGAATCTGACGTTGTAACGAAGTCGTGCGAAGCGAAGGCCTACCGCCGTCATCTCGTCAATCACAGCCAATATGGGGGCGGGTGAAGCAAGGTGGTGCACTGCGAAGAATATCTGCGAAACGAAGTGGCACGCCCGGGAACTGCCCTATGGAAGGACTTTCAGTCCACCGTCTGGATTTCGCTTTGAACACGCCCGTTACCAGCTTGGTAGGATACCAGCTGAACCAAGCTCGAGGGACGCTCTTGTTTGTGGTGGGGTCCAAAGGGTGTTTGCGGATCTTCCTGGCCCACGAATCCAAGGTATCCACGAACCACTCTGATTGGCTCCAGCTGTCTTCTCCCCTCGGTTCCACAAGAACCTCCCAGATTCCAGGGATTGCCGAAGTTTATGTACTGTAACACGATTCAGCCGACCGTTCACGAAACGCAAATCAGGGAGAGTGTTACGAGTGCAATTGAGTGAGTGAAAGAGAATTGCACTATCGAAGCAAACGTACAATGAGCCAAGGTATGAGCGAAGAATATATAGCGAAATTACAGTGGTAACGGTAATGGACTGTGGTTGTCGCGCGACGGGCCTGGGACTGAGGTTGGGGAAAATGTTGAAGCGGAGGCCCGGAGCGCGGGTTACCCACCGAGCCGTGAGGTCGAGGTGCGACGAGCGTATTGGGCTGAGAAAGCCCTTAAGGAACTTTGCAGAGGATAACTCTGGGTAGGATACTTTGTAATAGCGGAAGCGTTTAATAAAGTTTGTGAGCCGACCTTGCACTATGGTGTGAGAGCAAAATGTAGATTAGATTAAACAAGCAAATACAAGATTTAATATAAGAGTACAGGGAATACGAATAGATAGATAACTGTATTGCTGTTGCGATTCGATACAGTGCGACTCGGGCAACTGCTCTGTAACGAGTCAGTTGTGTGTCCTTAACTGTCGCGCTGTAATTGTCGAGTCAAAGGTCGCTGACCTTTGACTTTCCCGTAACCTCCAGGCGGTTACCCTAACCTCCGAGGTTTGACTCGATGCTTCGATTCGGACTGCTTCGCTAGTGTCTTGGGTTTTGACACGACAAAAGCGCACTAAGACTTATTGTTTCCAACACTCCCCTTCGCTTCTGGAGTGTCGCCGCAGGTGACGTGGCCTTGTCCAGTCAGCAGCATGCCGTATTCGAACTTCTGCTTTCCGAGCTTCTTGGTCAAGTAATCGGCTGCCATCTCAGACGTGGGACAGTATGACAGATCGAGTTTCCCCTTTTCGATCTCGTCCTTCACGAAGAAATAGCGCAGGGCAATGTGTTTTGTCCTGTTTGCGAAGCCGTTCTTGTTGGCGATGCGAATTGCTGACTAGTTGTCGCAGAACACGGTGAAGCTGGGTAACTCGGCTAACTTCGCTTCTTCCAGCAGTTCGCGAAGGTAAAGTCCCTCCTTGGTGGCTGAGCAGAGTGCGATATATTCCGCTTCAGCTGAAGACAGTGCGATTAGCTCCTGCTTACTCGACTGCCAGGAGATAGGACCGATAGGCTCGAGGCGGTAGACATAGCCGGTGCGTGAGCGCCTATTGTCGGTGTCGCCGGCGTGATCGGTGTCGACGTAGCCGATTAGCTTGGTCGGTGTAGTCGCGTTTTTGTGATAAGTTAGTCCGATCGTCGCGGTGCTGACGAAGTAGTGGAGAGCGCGATCGAGTTCTGCCAGATGCTCTGCTTCAGGCTTCTTGAGATAGGTGGCGAGCTGACTCGCGGAGTAGGATAAGTCGGGACGGCATGTGACTGCTGCGAAGAGAAGACATCCGAGCTTCTTCTAATAGTCGCGTATGCCGGCGGGCTTGAGTAGGGTAGATCGTCCCTTTTCGGTTCCTGACGTGTAGCGGTAAGGCGTGGAGATGGCGCTTGGTGTGAGGCTGAAGCGTTTCGCGACGGTGTCGGCGTACTTCTCGGCGCTTAGATAGATTGCGTTTTCTTCCTCGCGGATGTTGAGCCCGAGGTACTGTGTAACGGTAGAAGAGACCGTGAGCGTGAGGTCTTTCTGAAGCTCCCCTTCGAACCACGTGGCGATGCCGTCGGTTGACCCAATGTAGAGGAGATCTTCCACGTAGACGATTAGGAGAACGTAGTCACTTCCCTTTGTAGGCGATACATGCCCTGGTCATGCGGGAGTTGTTTGAAACCGATGCGGATGAGGCGGGCGTGTAGGTACTGCTGCCACAGTCGCGGTGCCTGCTTGATCCCGTAGAGCGACTTAAACAATTGACAGACTCAGTTGGGTGTCAGATTTATATTATTGTAACTGCATGTAGATATAGCAGTAGTGTAGTTATCACATTCTGTTTGGTGGATTACCCCCTTTCCTATCATATTTGTACCCTTAGCTCTATAGTGAAGTCCTCTTTCATTGCCAACTCTCTCACTCTCTACCTCCTAGCATGGCTCCTAAGGCTAAACCCTAACAACATATCTTGACATGGTACAGAGCAGGAATTCCTCCTGAGGACCTAATTTTTTTTTTTTTTTTTTTTAATGATCATGGGCCCACCCGTCGTGCCGCCCGTAATGCGCCCCGCGGGTCCCCCGAATCGCCCCGTGGACGAACCCCGCGGGTCCCGTTTTTCACTTTCTGCAGGCCCTTCGTTTCGCGTCGCGCCCGTGCGCCCTTTTCGTCCGTCACGCTCCCCCCGTCGCCCCGCGATCCGCCTTCGCCAGCGTGGACGCCAGCGCCACGGCCAGCCGCGAGCGCCAACGCTGCAGCCAGCCGCGAGCGCCAGCGCGTGCGCGGACCGCCAGCGCCACCGCCAGCAGCTGCGACGGCCGCCAGCGCTAGCGCCAACGCGACCGCCAGCGCCGGCAGTGGGTGATTCCGCCCTTCCCTTCCGTCGTGGGGGGGGGGGTTGGGGGGAGGGGGCGGGTGTGAGGAGCGTGCCGCTCCTCCCTCCCTTCCCTCTTCCTCTCTCCCTGCAGCAATTGTTGCTGAGGGGAGGGGGGGGGGAGAGAGGGTAAGGGGGGATAAAGGAGGGTATGAGAGAGAGTGGCAGAAGCAGCAGCCCTGCATTTGCAACTGCCACCCCCTGCTCCTGTGGCACCTCCAGTTGCAGCCCCTGTTGCCACTTAATTCGTCTCTTTCGTTTGCTGCTGTTGAGCGGCAGGTGCTGCCGTTGAGCCTGCTGTGCCGCCGCTTGTTGCCGCCGCACGCCGCTCTCCAGGCGACCTGCGCCACATGCACCTTTCTTTCGTTTCTGTATTGGCTAAGGGGTTTCTGCTGTTGTTTCTGCCACTGCTGCACTGGTTGTCATTGCTCTTGCGTGCTAATGCTTTTAGTACACTTGCGGGTTGTGATTTATGCTTTGCTATTCCTGCATGCAGTTAAGGGGGGATGTCAGAGTTATATTATTGTAACTGCATGTAGATATAGCAGTAGTGTAGTTATCACATTCTGTTTGGTGGATTACCCCCTTTCCTATCATATTTGTACCCTTAGCTCTATAGTGAAGTCCTCTTTCATTGCCAACTCTCTCACTCTCTACCTCCTAGCATGGCTCCTAAGGCTAAACCCTAACAACATATCTTGACATTGGGTTCGCCGTGGAAGCCGTGCGGGAGTTTCACGAAGATTTCTGCATCCACAGGTGCGTAGAGAAATGCGTTTGCGACATCGATTTGTTGCAGTTTCTTTTTCTTCATGGCGGCGACGGCGATGAGGATTCGGAGTGAGGTGTGACGGCTGACCGGAGCGAAGGTTTCGGTGTAATCTCTTCCGTGCTCCTGGTCAAAGCCGCGTACGACCCAGCGAGCTTTGAATTTGTCGATGGTGCCGTCAGCTTTCGTCTTCACACGGAAGACCCACTTTCCGGTAAGAATAGTCTTGTTTTGTGCTACGCCGATGGGAACGATTTTCCAGGTGTTGCGCTCCTTCAGTGCCTTCAGCTCTTTGTCCATGGCTTCACGCCATTTCTCCTTATGTTCCCCCCCCAGAGCCTGTTGAACTGTCGCAGACTCCTTAGGAATGGCGGCGCCATGGACTGCGGTGACGAGGCCAAGGATTTGCAGCCCAGTTTGTGAGTATCGAGGGAGATCTGGATCCTCGGGATAAGCTGCTTCGTCTCCCGCTTCTGGGTCGGGTATGAAATTTGGCCCTACCCTTTCTGCCTCGTTGGTGTTGACTGTCGCAGGTGTTACGTAACCATTGTCGGCGAAATGGTAGAGGACTTCGGCGTTGTTACTGTCGCGAGGATTATCCTCATCCATGGGCACGTCGACGGAGCAGTACGGAAGAGGTCCGGCTTCCTCCGATGCGTTGTCGACGTTCTGCTCGTCCCAGTCTGCTTCATCTGCTGCTAACGCGAAGGCTCGGTCACCACAAAAACCACCGGTGAGGTCCCGATTCTCGTGCAAGTTGGCGAGGTACGTCTGAAGGGTGAGTCGTTCGTAGAAGATCACATCACGTGCGTCTACTGTTTCTTTTGTGTGGACGTCGAAGATTCTCCACGCGTTGTAATTTTTCTCGATGCCGAGGTGTAGTCCCCACTGTGCCCGTTGCGAAAATCTTCCCGCTCGTGCTTCTGGGGGTCTGTACTGTACCATGCACCCGAAGACTCGTAACATTTTTGTGCTGCCCTGCTTCCCTGTCCACAGCAGATGCGGTGATGCGTTGTTCGGGAGTGACGACGACGACAACAAGTTGTGCAGCATGA